GGGGCTGCGGGTCTGGGAGTGAGGGGCACCGGTGGAGCTGGGGGGGCAGGGCTGGGCTAGCAGTGGTCAGCAGCAGAGCAGTTGGGCTAAGGCTATCCCCAGGGCTCTAGCCCGTCCCCGCCGCAGAGAGCAGGGGCAGGTCTGGCCCGTGCCCGGCGGCTCCTCTCCTGACCCCGTCTCTCTCCCCACGTCTCCTAGGGTCCCGGGCTGGGCGCCCGGCAGGCCCTGCGGGTCCGGCAGGAGTCGGTGGGCCGGACGGTGTCGGAGTCGTCGGAGGGCAGGGGCACAGCCTCGGAGGGCGAGCTGATGGAGGAGCTCTCCCTGCCGAGCCTGCGCTCCCGGGGCGACAGTGCCTACCTCTCCCAGCGCGAGAGCTTCCCCCTGCCCGCGGGCACTGCCGACGGTGAGGACGACATCAACGGCTACGTCCTGCCGGATCACCACGGCCGAGGTAATGGCAGCCCCGGGGTCCCACCTCAGGGCCCCAGGCTGCCTCCTGCAGCTCCCCCGGGCAGGACCCTGCTCCGGGAGTCAGGGGGGCGGTCTGGGTTGTCCCTGCCACGAAGGGGCCCGTGGGGGTGGTCGTTAGCGGTCGTTACCTGGCCTGCTGGGCTGAGACCCAGCAAACTCGCCGCAGCTGGGGACTGGATGCCGGCTTGGAAACCCGCGAGCCAGAGGTGGGAAATATCTGGGTCGCGGTGCCCCTTCCCCTGAGCCACTCGGTCCCTCCTGCCTCACTGGGGACTCCGGAAGGAAGCTGCCATGGGGGAGGAGAGCCACGTGCCTCTCCCATTGTGCCCCGGCTGCCCCCCGCGCACGAGGCAGATCAGACACCCACCTATCCCAGCCCCTGTCCCCCAGCCGCCACCCCCTACCGGCTGCACCTAACGCCGGCTTGTCGTCGGCTTCTCCCTGCAGAGCGAGCGGCCAGCGTTGCCCGGGCAGTGCGGGACGGGCCCCTGGGCCGCGCCTCGGAGCCGGAGGAGGAGGCGTACGAGTACATGAACAGACGCCCCCCGCAGCCCCGGCCGGCCTCCCTGGAGGAGCTGGGCTACGAGTACATGGACCTGGGCTCGGAGCGGAGCGCCTCCCTGGGCAGCGTGTTGAGCTCCCAGCTGCCCGTGGCCGGCTGGGAGGTGGCCGCGGCCGAGGAGGACTACGAATACATGAACAAGCAGCCCAAACTCAGCCAGTCCCTGAGCAGCGTGCTGAGCTCGCCGGGGGCCGGGCGGGACGACTACACCTGCATGAGCGCGGCCGTCCCCCGGGGCTCCCCCGACGAGCAGGGCTACGAGGTAATGGAGGCCATCCTGGCTCCGGGGAGCGGGCCATGCCTGGACTGCCAGAGCTCGCCCTGCCCCAAGAACGGCTTCATGAAACCCCTGCGGAGCCTGGAAGCCTCGGACTGCGCCTTCGACAACCCCGACTACTGGCACAGCCGGCTGTTCGCCAAGGCGGACGCCCAGTGCACCTAGGGGGCAACGGGGGGGTGCCCGACCCGTCTGTCCCCGGGGGGCAGGGCCGTTGGACTCCGGCGCCTGCCCGCCCCTCGCCAAACGAGCCCAGCCGGGGGGCTGGGAGCGAACGTCCTGCCCCAGCCCCAGAGGGTATTTACAGGGTGGGCAGAAATGGCCAACGCTCCCTTAACGGGGCAGCGGGGGCCGGGGCCTGCCCCTGCGTCTGTGCCCATTGCATGCTGGAATGCAGGCTGGTTCTGACAGCTGGGGGCAATGCATTGCCCCACTGTGAAATCAAACCAGTCCGGGGGGACTACCCCCTCCACCGTTCCACCTCAGGATCACAGACATACGGACGCAGGACAGATACCTACATCTGGTGAGGTGGGCAGGGGAGTCAGGGGCTGCGTCCTCCCCTCCCCCGCATGGGAAAAGCCTCATGTACTGAGCTCCCAGAATCGGGGCTGGGGGCGTATGGGGCCCAGCCATGGATCAAGCACGTGGGGAGCAGCTGGAGGAGGGGGCTGCCTCATTCCTCACCCCCCACCAAGCAAACATGGGGGGGGGTGTCTGTTTACACCTGGATATGAAGAATCCCGGAGTTGCTCCAGGCAAGGCCGTGGGGTGAAGTGAACAGAAGAGGGGGGCTGCTGGTTTGGGGTCTAGTGGGTAAAACGCTGGACTGGGAGCCAGAACTCCTGAGTTCTATGTCCTAGACTCGCTGCTCTGGGCCTCAGTTTCCCCCTCTGGGCCATGTAGGGAGTTATAGACCTTTATAAAGCGCTGGGAGAGCCCTGGGCAGACCTGCCCCAGCCTTCTCTCTCCTGCCCCCCTGCAAACCAGGGGTGACCCAATGACTGCTGCCCCCCTCCCTTGCCGGGGCTGAGCTAAGCACCGCTTAGGAGCGGAGGCCGCAGCCGGGTGGAGAGAGTCGGTGGGTCGGGTTCTGTTCCGTTCAACCCGATTTCCACTGGTGTAAGAAGCCCGGGGGCCGGAGTCTGATCTCGATCTCGATCCCCCAGAGTTACTCCTGATTCCCACCAAACCGGGGTGATCAGAGCCTGCGCCTGGGGGTGATCCCAGCCTGGGGCCCAAGAAAAGCAAGGCCAGCAGGCTCCAGCCCCGGACCTCCCCTCCTGTCACCCCACAGAAGCCGTGCCCGATGAGAGGCGTGGGGAGCTAGTTACCGACGGGGGGTGGGGGGACGACCCCCCAAGCCTGTGGCGAAGAAATGAAGTTGATGTTTTTGCACTGAATCTCGTGGCACGGTTCACTCCATGTGCGAAGCTGGAGCAGGCTGGCCTGGCTCGCGGGTGCGCCCGTCTTTCCTCTCCTCCGACAAAGGCCTCCGTGTTTGTCCCGGGCCTGCGCTGTCTGTTGCGGGGTCTGGATCCGCCAAAGGGCTGCTTTCCTCTGCAGGAAGCGGAGCGTGTGCCCTCCTCGTCACCCCCCCAAATGAAGCAAGTGAGGGGCTCTGAATTCTTCCCACGTGAGGCCATGGGATGTCAGTGCTTTTTACCTGGGGGACCCACAGCGAGTCTGAGCAGCCTTGGTTAAAGTGGTGGAAGGAGCGTTGTCTAGGGGTTAGAGCAGGGAGCGCGAGAGTCAGGATTCCTGGGTTCTGGTCCCAGTTGCAGGAGGAAGGGGGTGTCTAGCGGTTAGAACAGGCTGTCTCCCTCCGCTCTCTGAGCTCTGGAAGGGGGATTTCCCCCCAGCTCTCCCCCCCTTGCTCAGCCAGACGGTGCGGTGGGAGGGCGGGACAGACCATACATACTACCAACGTCTGACTAGAGCAGGGACCTGCCCGGGCCTTTGGAAGGGAGCATGGGGCAGGTCTTCCCTCCCTGTTGCAGCCGGCTGAGCAGGGGGGAGCCAGCCCCATTGCCTCGAACTGGCTGTGGAGATCAGAGACCCTTCTGGGGTGTCCAGTGAGACCTTCGCCCCTCTGCTAGAGCCGTGGGGAAGCACCGACTCGTGATCCGCCCCACGTAGGTGTGTGACGCGTCTCAGCCCTGCGCATCTGGGCTAAGGAATCCACACGGGCACCTTGCTAGTGAGCCTGGCACGGGGCCCCTGCCTGGCACACGTCTCAAAGCTGCCACTCTGCCCCCTGCTGGCAAGTGGCACTAACGCTGCAGAAAAATGTTCTCACGTGGGAACGGTTTATTGGATTTCAGAATGAGAAGCAGAAACAAGTCTGAGGTCTCCCCACCCGTCGTGTGCGTTAACCAGGCTGCGCGGCTCCATCCGTTTGTATTTGTTTTAAATGCAGGAGCTGATAGCCTGCTGGGCCCGGACTCCTGGGTTCTAAAACGGGAACAATGAATAGCATGACAGGGTGAGGGGTTTGCTGTTTTCGTCCCAGCCTCTCCAAAGGAGAGAGAACTAAAGAACACACCAAAAGCCGCCTGGGGAGAGCTGAGCATGGGGGCTGCACCTTCCTACTGAACTCAAAGGGGCTGATCCCGGTTTTGCTTCCAACTGGACTAATTCTAGTGAAATCACCGGGTCCAAATCCTCTTTGGGTTGTTTACACCTGTGCAAAGGGCATGTAAACGTGGCAGCTCGCACTGGCAGCATGCTGCAGGGATGCAAGTGAGGACACAAGAGCAGGGGAAGATCAGGTGCAAACTGAGCCAATCCAATTTGCTAGTTAGTCCTTTTAAAGAAGCACATGCAATGCCTCCAGTAGCCTGGATCTTCCAGAAGACCCCCCTCCCCCCGTACATTTTCATAAAGGTTAACACTCTGGAAAGCAGGGAGTACTTTTTTTTTGGTCTCCTGTCCTTGTTTGCATTGTCTTGCTGTGTGTCAGAACTGGTGGAATGAAGGTTAAAAGAAATCTCTGAGCTTTACAATTGTACCTGTGGGACTCACCGCCGCAGGATGAAATAGCTTTGGTGTTTTGTTTTTGAAAGGAATGAGACACTTACAGGAATAGTAACACCATTTGTAGTGACCCAAGCTAGGATAAAAGTCCCAAGGTTCGAAGGGAATATGCAGATCAGAAGGGAATATACTATTATTGCCTAGTTAGGCTCTGGTCTTGGAAGGAGATGCATAGAGTCGGACTCATGTGTAGCAACTGGGGATGTATTTATTAATATAGAGGCCCTGTCAATACATTTGCTCTGGCACGAGCTAGGCAAACAAACTGCAGTGTACTATAGCCCGTGGCCATGGTGAATACAACATCGGTGAAGTAAGGAAATTGTACACCGGGGGCTGTGCTCTGCGACAGTGCAAGGCGGTCTCTGTGAGCAGCTATGCCAACCTCAAGTATTCAAAAATCACAAACTCAGCTACAAAATCCTGGTTTGTTTGTTTTTAAATGAGTTTGGTTTGGGTTTGGTTTTTTTTTAATTTGCCTTCTGGTTTCTGAGCCTTTAGGTCTCACAAGGAGTCGTGTTTTCAAGCTTTTCTGTGCAGCTACGAAGCCTAGAACCATACTTTATTTACTATGAAGCTTTAAGAAAACACCAAATGCAGAAACGTACACTGTGAGCATTGGCAGCGCGAAGGAAGGGCCTTTCCACGCACATCTCATTGCCAGATCGGGGCCATACGTGTGTTGTTACAGGTGAGGGGGGACTGGTGTCTTCCTCTCAAGCGTTGGGCATCCGTCACTCTCAGGGCTGGGCCGCCGGGTTTGGCTGGGCCCATGAACCCCGCGTGGGAAGCCCTCGCCTACGCCGTCTCTCCGTTTTCTGTGCTTCCCATCACTGAAGGAGTTTTAATGTTTTTTTTAAAGACAAAATAAAAGTGAAGCTGATGAACATGGTGCCCGAGTGTGTCCCTGCTGGCATGGCTTTGGGAGGGGAGGGGGGCTGGTGTGAGGAGTGGGTGGGGCCAGGGCGGGCAGACCCTGGAGATGCCTCTCCCCACACGCCCCATGCCAAGGGGCGCCGGGAGGAGGCAGTTTCTTCCCCCTCCCTTGGCTGCCATTGCTGCAGCTCCAGGTCTTGCTGGGGGTATCTTGGGTTAGACCCCTCCCCACAGCATGCACCCCCAGCCTCCCCTCTGTGCCTCCCCCACAGGGGGTGTCCCTCCCTCTTGGGGTGCCCCCTTTCTCCCCTCCCCCTTGGGGTGCCCCTCCCACTGTGATCCCCTCCCCTTTCCTCTCCCTTGAGGGTACCCCTCCCCCTTAGGGTGAACCCCTCCCCTGAGGGTGTCCCTCTCTCTTGGGGTGCCCCTCCCACCGTGATCCCCTCCCCCTTAGGGTGAATCCCTCCCCCCTTCGTGCCCCCTTTCTTCCCCTCCCACCCCGCCCCTTGGGGGGCCCCCGCGTCCCTCCCACCCTTAGTGCAGCCCCTCCAGTTCCAACCCTCTTTAACTAAGGGCCTCTCAGCCCGCTGGGACTTGTAGTTCAGGCCAACCCCAGCCTACAACTCCCAGCGTGCACTGCGACCCGCCGGCCCACCCGCCATCTCGGAAAACGCGACTCTGCCCCTGTTCGCGCGAGAGCTCCCTGGGCGCGCTGCATGCCGGGAGCCGTGGTCCTCGCCGCAGTGGCCGAGCGGGCGGGGCCCCTTCCCCTTCGCGCGGCGCCTGCCGGGAGTCGTAGTCCGGCGGCCGAGCGGGCGGGGACTCGCCTCCCCAGCGTGCCCCGCGCGGAGCCCGCGCTCTCTCCGGCTCGCTCGCTCCGGCCGGGTCTCTCCTCAGGCGGCGGCGGCGGTTCCAGCGCGGGGCGAGGCCAGGCCGGGCCCGGGCGGCGCCCACCATGTCGGGCGAGGAGGAGGCGGCCGAGCTGACCATCGCCGAGGACCTGGTGGTGACCAAGTACAAGATGGGGGGGGGACATCGCCAACCGTGAGTGCGGGGCCGGGGGGGGCCGCGCC